AACCATAAACAGCCATTAAATGCTTCCCAGGTGGATAAGCTGCCACCAATCCATTGGTCAGTTGAATCTACGTGATCGATTTATCAGCTCATTTACCACTGAGAGCCCTTGGGTTCTCAGATTTCCAGCCCTGAAGAATCCACTGGATTTCCACTTTCTTCTATCCCGAGTAGGGCAGAAAAGAAATCCTAAATCCACCCCACTTTTCTCTAATATTTAACTGACGTGCACCTTTTGCCTGCAACCAACTCCAAATGCTGTATCAGCCTAGGCACACTGTCACAGAAACAGAAACTGGTTCTGTCCATGGGAAAAGATGAGACAATCATTGTCCAGGTGGCAGGGAGCCCGCAGCCCTGAAGGGAAGGTTGGGGCTTGTAGGTTCAGGGGGCAGGGGCGATCCAAGGGGACTCAGCCTGCGAGGCTCTTGGGTACCGGTTAAGGAGCTGCTGGACGGTGCTTGAGCTCTGCCAACCCTGGAATTTGTGTCACTCGGTCTGAGTGTAGTGTGAGTCAGGAGCACCTGTTTGGCCAGAAGTGCTAGGGGGAGAAAAAGGGAAATAGCCTTTAATTCTGCAGCTGCAAGCAGAGCCATTTCTTCCACCAGGGCTCACATAATTGGGGATCCTCAAAAGATGGAAAGAGGGCTCAAAGGTTGGGAGGGAAAAAGAACACATCTGAATCGGAATCAGGGACTTCCAGGTTGTCAGTCAAATGCTTTACTCGGTCTTGTCTAATAAGTGTGTTTCAATTTTGAACTTCATTGTGGAGTCAAGTTATTAGTTATGGGCTGTCATCAGGCCTAGCAGGACTGGGCCCGTGTGATCTGTCACCATGCTACCATGGTCACATTCTCTTACCTCTGCACCCCCGGCCACTCTCTGTGCTTCTCGCCCACCTCTTACAATTCCCTCGGTCCTGCGCTGAAGGCACTAACTTGAAAAATCATTGATGTTTGCCACCAGAATGTTGTTTAAAATGACATAGCGTTGTAAGTTCCAAAATAATTTTCCAGCCACTTGGAATGAGTGGATGTTACCATCGAAGTTAGTGGGGGGGGTGTGCCTCCCCAAAACAGAAGCTCCCAGGCACCTCCTCAGTTCTACTAAATCCTAATTCCTAGGGCTGATCTGTATTTTTACTATGGTCCCTAAGTAATTCCGGTGCAGACAGGCTAGGTAACCGCTGATCATAACATAAACTTCAAGAGGGAAGTAAGAAACTTCTACCACATACACATCATTAACAACAGCACCGTGACATGCGCCTTGCCCCAGAATTCACTTGGGGAAAGTGACACAGACTCAGTAGGGTGCTGATGTAGGTGACTTTACAATGAGCAGGACCCTAAGTGAGGTTGTTCATTTGCACTTGGCAATAAGGTAAGCCACCTGCAGGGGGCACCCGGATTTGAACCGGGGACCTCTTGATCTGCAGTCAAATGCTCTACCCCTGAGCTATACCCCCTTACTAGAGTTATAGTCCTCTTTAGCATAGTTCACTCGCGCTGCCACACCCAAGCATTTCCTAGTGCACTGGACATTCTATTCTCTCTTGGTCCACCTATGAAACTGGCAAGCCCACCACAAACTGGCTGGAGACCACCCTCTGGCCAGGAGTTGGCCCTTCCATTCCCCAGAGACCTTCCCTTGTCTAATAGTCCTTTTCTACTCTGTAGCGACAACCTGAACTCCTTGGATAAACTGCAGTCTCCTCCCCTCACCTCACTCAGTACCTGGTGGGAGGGGAAGGGAGAGGAAGTGTAAGAATCATGCCTGGATTAGCTATGTCCACAATAATGCTTCATAACAAATCATCCCTAAATCCAGATGAATGCAACAATAAACATTTATTTTCATGCATGGCAAGCAGTGGATCTAGTCTGGGCTTGACCTGGTGGCCCTGCTTCAAGCTGGGGGTCCATCTGTGCTTGGATCCTTGATGTGAGTTGGGCTCAGGTTTGCTGAAAGTCTGTTTATTCCTGGGTCCAAGTTGGAAGAGTGGCAGCTAGCAGGGGCACTTTTCTCCTGGCAGTGGCAGAAATGCAAAAATGTCCTGCCCAACTATGCGAGCAGGTTTCAAGCCTCAGCTTGTAATCCATGTGCTAACAAACCATCAGTGAAAGCGAGTCTCAGGACCAAGCCCTACATCAAGGGCAGGGAAATCTGTTCCTTGGGAACATGAGAGCATCTGAAAAGTCTCATGGCAAAGGGTGCACACAGAATAAGCTCAGAACCGGGGCCAACATTTTAATCCACTGCGGTCTGCCCTCTTGGTCATAATTACTTACCTCTCTCCTGCATGCATAATATACTCAGCTTTTACCTTTTGCTCCAGCCAGAGCCCCCTTCTGGATCCCAATGTCAGTATTTGTCAGGCTTTTCACAATAATATCATATAACAAACCACCCCAAAACTCAATATGATTAGATTCTGGTTCTGCTGCCTCGGGAGAGCTCCCTGTTCACTGTTTTTGCATGACTCTGAGAAGTCTTCCTTTTCCTTCAGGCTTCTCTGCAATTTTTTATTTATTTTTTTAAAGATTTTTATTTATTTGACAGAGAGAGACACAGCGAGAGAAGGAACACAAGCAGGGGGGAGTGGGAGAGGGAGAAGCAGGCTCCCCATGGAGCAGGGAGCCCGATGTGGGGCTTGAACCCAGGACCCTGGGATCATGACCTGAGCCGAAGGCAGACGCTTAACAACTGAGCCACCCAGGCGCCCCCTCTGCAATTTTTTAAAGAGATCATTGGAAAATATGTCCTTTCTGGTGGCTGAGCTTTCTTCTCAGCTTGCTTCCCCCGGTAGAATGTTAGAAGCCCAGGTCCTTTTAACTTCCCAGTCTTCGCGTCTTTTCGTCCAAGCTCGTAATGCTTTTGATAGTACAGTTCTCTCAAGCAACGTGTGGGTTTTCTATTTATTTGACTCCATGTGCCAAAAGCCACATGATCACAATTCTTTTTGACATATGCTCTCCCTCCGGCTCAATTATAAGTATTTGGGCACACCCTTAGTCTTTCTAGGAATACTTTTGTCCAACTGAGAGGATATACTTGGTACCAGTTTAATTCTTCAGTGCTCTTAATAAAGTGCATTCAAACTATGAGTGTATTAAGCTTGACTTGGTTTGAGACTATGTCTTACGGGAAGGCTCTGGAGTTAGTCTTTTTCCTAAAGTGCTGTAAGAAGGGCCTCACCTTTGTTTTGGAGAGAATGGTTTCATTTTTCTGACTATGCAATTCTGAGCTATCTAGATTGCCTCTAAATTCTGACTGCAAACCAGTAACCTCTCTTCTGAACTCAAATCTTTTTTTGCAGTACCTTATCAAAAACAGCCTGTAACAAAATAGCTCACGCATTCAATGTTTTTCCTTGAAATATCCTACCCTAACACTACAAGTGCAAGCACATTTTCTGCCTTCCAGGTTACCACGAGCCTCTGATCTTCCTGCCAATAGTACTTTCCTATTTTCCCACTGATTGTTAACAGCTCTTTTGCTGCCCATTGCTTCATTGCAAAGGCATGCCATGTACTTTAGCCTTTTGTTATAGCAGGAGCCCCCTTCTGTATGTCACTTTTAGTATTTGCCAGTCTAATCCACAATAGTGTCGCAAAACAAGCCACCCCAAACCGGTGACACACAACAATAAGCACTTATTCTCATGCCCATGGGTCAGAATATTGAATGTGAATCAATTGATCGAGGCTGGGCTTGTCTGAGTAAGGCCGCTTCAAGCTGCGAGTCCAGCCGGCCTTGGCTCCTCTTGATGAACTGGACTTAAGATTGGGCCATGTGCGTCCACGCTGGGGTCCAGGCTGAAGGGGCAGCCGCTCACAGGATAAACACATCTCATGGTAATAGCAGAAGTGCCGGAGGACAAACCCAACCTTGCAAGTTGATCTCAAGCCCCTTCCTGCATAACCTGCTAACATCCTGTTGGCCAAAACAAGTCACACGATGTGCCAGCGATCAATTTTTTGACTCTCCGGTCCAAATTCATGCCCCCATACCTGCCCTGCAATAACCGACTGGTTTCTGTAAGCGTTTCTCCTGTAATATGAACAGCTGTCAGTAGAGGGCGCTGGAGGGACGTTGCTGGAGAAAAGGAAATTGTCTCCCGAATTTCTGCTGCGTGTTGTTGTTGTTGGTGGTGGTGGTGTTTTGTTTCGTTTTGTTTTTTTCCCCTTCCCCTTGGTCTCTGTTGCATGGTTGGTCAGAGGTGTGGGTGTGTGAGGACCCAGCCAGGCCCCCAAAGAATGGAGTCCCATGGCGACCTCGTACCCCAGCGGGGCTGGCGACCACCTCTCGGGGCCCTCCCAACTCTGTGTATGCACCTGCGGGCGCCAGCCAGCCCCGCTTGTCTCTGCCCCTCAGAGGTTTGGTCCCCCGAGCCCTCCAGGCGCAGATGCTGCACGCTCCAGACCTCATACCCGCAGGTGCCTCTCCCGTGCCCAAGAGGTTTGCTTGCTGCTTGCCCGGAGACTGTGAATACAAGGTCAGGTTGCGGCAACCTGGCGAGTGGGCTGCAACCACACCTTCCCCCGGGGTCTAATTCCTGCTTTGGGGAGGGGCCCCCTTCCGAATTTGTCCTTCTTTGGGTTCTTCTCCCCGCGCATAACTTTAGTTTTCTTTGCACCTTTGTAGTAACTCTTTGCATAACACAATAATTCTTTATATTAAACTTCCCGCTTAAGTTACTGTGTGGGTTCTGTCTCCTGGTTGGTCCAGACTGATACCTATGGCCGAGCCCAGAGCAAGGGGGTGCAGAGCGCACTCGCCCGTGGGGGAGAAAAGGAAGAGTCACAAGCAAAAGCCACAGAAACCGCGAGGTGAAGAATTGCAGCCAGTGGGTCAACCACACTTCAAAATGCCAAGCGAGGAAAAGACACGGGGCGGGGTCTGGGGGAAAGTGGCAAGGAGGGCACCTGGTGACATTAAATGGATTGTGGTATCCGGGAAGCCATTCCTCCGTGTTCGGCAATAAAGCGGAGGCCCAGCAGGGGGCACCCGGACTTGAACCGGGGAATCTCTTGATCTGCGGTCAAACGCTCTGCCTCTGAGCTACACCCCCGTGCGTCAGGTTGCCTCCTCTTTACACTATTTCACCTGTGACGCCACACCCAAGCATCCCATAGCGCCCCGTGAGTTCTATTCCTTGCTGGTAGACCTATGAGACCAGCAGGCCCAGCACAAATTCACCAGGGACCACTCTGTGGCCGTGAGGCCGCCTTCCCATTCCCCAGAGACCCCTCGCTTTGTCTAGTAGGCGCTTTTCCGCTGCAGCCGCATCCGAACTGCGGGAGACACCGGGTTTCTGCGGGACCCCGCCCCCCACCCTCCCTTCCTTCCTTCCTTCCTTCCTTCCTTCCTTCCTTCCTTCCCTCCCTCCCTCCCTCCCTCCCTCCCTCCTCCCTCAGCTCCACCGGCTCTACCCCATCCTCCCCAGCCTAACCCTTGCTGGCTCTCTGTTTTCCTTCACATCTCCACCCCACCCCCACCTTCTCCCCGGCCCAGTCCCCTCCTGAGGCAGTCTCCGAGGGGCTTGGTTGAACCCGGGAGAGACAGCGCCAGCGAGGCAGTAGCCCCTGAATCCTTCCGGCAGCATAACCGAGGGGGCTAGAAGGCTGCTGTTTGGGGGCCCACAGCCCCGACCCAAGGGCCCCTGCTATAAGGTCAGAGATCTCTCTTTCCTCTGCCCCACAACAGGAGAGCCCAGGCCGTGCGTATGCCCCCCCACCCCCTCCCCCTCCCTCCCTCCCTCCCAGCTTGCAGACCTTCATTCACACGGTGAGGACACCCACCAGTCCTTCGGAGGAGGCATCAGGGCAGTAACCGAGAGGATGTTAGGGGGCATCAGAGACCGGTGAGATTCACTTTCCAGAGACCGCAGAGGACACTGAGCCATGGGAGATAGGGGAGAGGAAGGGAGATTCTTTCCTCATTCCCGTGCAGCCTACCTATAGCATTCCTTTGTACACACACAGGTAACCTGTTTCACTTCAAAAACATGATGTAAACTCAAAATAAGTGTTCCAGTGAGAACAAAGCAGCGCCCCATCCATGATGTTTCTAACATAATCCACCTGCTTCCATGCTGCTGGCTGCTGGCTGCTTGCCCGGCCTCTAAAACACCATCTTTTTTTTTTTTTTTAAAGATTTTATTTATTTATTCATGAGAGACAGAGAGAGAGAGAGGCAGAGGGAGAAGCAGGCTCCCAAGGAGCAGGGAGCCCGACGTGGGACTGGATCCCAGGACTCTGGGATCATGACCTGAGCCGAAGGCAGACGCTTAACCATCTGAGCCAGTCATTTGCCTGGCATTTGCCAGGTGCCCTAAAACACCATCTTTTTATTAGGGGAGGTAATTGGAAAGTTGGGTGCCCTTCCCTGGCATGGCCAGGTTTGGGGGGCGGGGTGTGTGAAGTGCATTTGGTGGAGCTGGCTCCTGGCCTCCACGCCTGGTTTTGACCTTTGTTTCTGAGTCCACCGGATAAACGCCGAGTGGGTGCGAAGATCCCACTCTTTTCTGATTCGTGTCCTATCTTTCACACATGAGACAAGGATACTGTTCCTTTAACTGACCTTGTAAGTCAGTAACCCACTTTTGGTTGGAGGCCTTTTCAGTTATTCCGAGGTAAGAGTTAAGGCTCTCTGCACTCGGTGCTGGCTAGAGTAGAGGGTTTATACATTTGAACTTCATTTTCTCTGAGTTCCCGTGCTGACAGAATTAGCCACTCTACTGTACGGTGCTTGCTGGTGTTCTATGGTAACTTAGTACATCAGGGCCTGGCCCTCCCCGGGCACTTCGGTCCAGGTGACCCAGTCAGTATTGAACTTCCCTGCTTTGTCACTGTGTGTCAGTGACTGATGACTGCCAGGTTCCAATTCCTGAATAACTGGCCGGATGGTCACTGATTTTAGCCCCAACCAGACCAGATAACCAATGCCATGTTCCCCTCATTTCCTGCACCTGACTTCTAGGATCAGTTTTCACACGGCCAGCATTCCATCTCAAAAATAGAAACTGATAATGGCTAATTGAAGCAAACAAGGAAATGACTGGCACGAAGACAAAAATCTCAGACCTCTCAAGGAAACCTAGCAATCTACACTCAGGAAATGGGCAGAATTAAAGGACAGCCAGGAGGTCAAGATCCTTTGCCCCCAAACAGCATCCTGGTTAGGGGGTTGGTGATGCCCCCACTGCACACTGGCTGCAGCCATCAGCCCCACCGCCAATGTCAGAGCTCCCCTGGAATAAATTCCAAACTCCTGCCTCATTCCATGTTCCAAGTCTCAATCATGTGTGTGTGACTGGCTAAGCCGAGGGCATTGCTGGGGTTGGTGGGAGGGCAAAGTCTGGTACTTTTGGTAGTGCAGGTAGGTCCTGGTTTCCACCAGTCATGCACAGCTGTGGATCCCCCCAAATGGAAAGGAATTTCAAACATTGGGGGTGTAAGAAAGATAGTTGCATATTATCTACCGCAAGTCTCATAAGTGAGACTGGATCAATGCCAGAATAAGGAATGGGGGAAATTGGATAGTGCTGTCAGAGCCTGGGGAGGTTTTCTGGAAAAGGCCTGATGTGCTGCTTCTCTCCTCCCCCCCCCTCCCCTTTCCCCCCTCCCTTCTCCTCCTCCCTCTCCTCCTCCCGCTCCTCCTCCTTCTTCTTCTTCTTCAATTCCAATGTGGTTAACATCCAGCATTATATTAGTTTCAGATGTACAGTATAGTGATTCAACACTTCCATATATTATACGTATATTACTCAGTATTATATGTATATTACTCAGTGCTAATCAAGATAAGTATACTCTTAATTTCTCTCTTCTTGCAGGAAGAGGCAGTTATCTGGAATGCCCACAAGTCTAAATAAATACGGCGGCAGGTGCATACCATGGAATATTATTCAGCCATAAAAAGAAATGAGCAAAGCCTATAGCTAAGTGAGAGAAGCTGATCTGGAAAGGCTACATATAGTATGTTTCCAACTCTATGACATTCTAGGAAAGGCAAAACTAGGGACAGTAAAAAGATCGGCGGTGGCCAGGGATTGGCAGGAGGGGAGAGGAATGACTAGGTATAGCAGGCCGGATTTTTACAACAGTGGGACTATCCATGACGTTAGTTAATTGTGGATACGTGACATTATGCATTTGTCAAAACCCGTTAAATTGTTGGGAACTTAATGTAAACTATCGGTGTCAGTTAATAATAATGTATCGATTGATATTCGTTCACCAGTTTTAACACTAGTGCAAGATCTTAACCACAGGGAAACCGTGTGTGTGTGTGGGGGGGTATATGAGAACTCTCTGTACTTTCTGCTCAGCTTTTCTGTGACCTTAAACTGCTCTAAGAAATAAAGTCTACAACATACATATTTTTAAAGACAGCCGGTGGGGGCTCCCTGGATTACGGATCAGAGACCGCGGGATATGTGTTCAAATGACCCGCCTAGGAGCAAGGCGCCTTTCCCCCCAGCTGCCGTATGCAGAGCTCTAACCCAGCAAGTAGCCGACGTCTTCCGTGGGCTTGCCTGAGACCGGCGGGGTCTGCTGCGCCGGGACGGACCGCTTTGCTACCAGGCCTCCTTCCGCACCTGGCAGCTTCTCGGGCCCCTGCCGAGGGCACCCGCTTTGAGAACCAAATACATTTAGGCCAAGCGCCCTTTAGAATCACCCAGCGTAGTCCTCCCCCAAATGCGCCTGTCAGATCTAGGGCGCATCGGGATGGAGGGGGAAAGGAGGAAGGGTAGAGATAGACGTCATTTTTACAATAAAGGTGCCCTCCCGGCCTCCTGCATCCGGGTCCCTGGGCTGAACCTATGAAGTCACTTAGGAGAGATCAAACATATACGTAGGTCGTCAGAGGGTCAGGACAAAACCTCCAATTCTGGACGAGCAATTTTTCCATCTCCTGAAGCAGAAGATGGCCTTTCCCACCATCTGTCAGCTGAGCCCCGGGTGGAAAGAAAACCGACAGGGGGCACCCGGATTTGAACCGGGGACCTCTTGATCTGCAGTCAAATGCTCTACCCCTGAGCTATACCCCCACACATGCTATGAGCCTCTAACTAGCACCTTTTTACTATATTGCAATAGCCGGCTATCCTCCAGTATGCTAACTGCCATTCATTCTCAATGAACCTGCAGAACGGCATCCCTCTGGCCATCAACCTCCCCTACAAACTTCTCTACAGACTCTATTTCAGCTGGACTGATTTTTTTTTTTTCTTCTATGCGAAACTAGTTAGCGGTCATCCATTTTGTCCCGTGGGTCTATACCGTCTTTATTGCTTTATTATAATCAGGAAAACATTCTTATTTTAAAAATTTGTATGTTTAAATGAAAATATATACATAAATAAAGTAAAATTAAACAGATCTAACAGGCAGATCTATATTTTAGTAGGAACCCCCCACATTTTCCCCCAAAGTAAAAAATTCCAACCATAACTCAAATCGCCACAGCCTCAAATGTACAGTTTGCACTGTTCGTTGACATAAATATGCTCACACTAAACCCAGGATGGTCATAATTATTAAGGATTGTTTAAAATGCATATTTTCTAAATCATGTAATTCCTTCCTTTATCGTGTGTGTTATTTAAAAAAATAGGTTGTAGTTGAGAATTATAATCCAAAGTATTAAGCACTGATATACATGACCTTTTAGTTGTGTAGATCTTGAACCACGGCATTTTGAAATTAAAAAAATTTTGATGCTTTGGTGAGATGAATAATTGAATAATAAAGTTGTCTTTATTGATATTTTATACTATTATAAAATTAATATTTTTTACATATGAAGAAAAATAACCTCCTCCAAGCCTGCATTCTGGATCCAGGTAAACTAATATTTAAGCACGAAGGCAAAGGAAGGACATTTCAGATGAACAAGATCTGAAAGCATTTATTAGAGCAGAATCTCACTAAATCCACAGCTGACGGAGAACAGAGATGAACCCTGGGGAGAAACAAGGACACGAAAAGCCCATGGATGACGGACCCTCCATTGGGACCTGCAGCCTCCTTTCGGAGCCAGCGCCTCATACTGGACATCCTCATT